TTTTTTTTTAAGAATTAAATCCTTCAATATCTATTATTAGTTTTATAACTGAAATTGAATCCTAGTGTACTAGTCTTCAAAGACTGTTCTTAGTGGTGACACATTGGATTGACATCGTTTTCAATTTAGACTTTATGCAAACCAACATTAACATCATTGATTCTTGCTTTCTATAGAACATGACCCATTTTGATCATGGTAATTGAGTTGACAAGTGTAACTTTTGGACCCATTTGATCGTGCAGATTTAATCTCTACGATCTCTCTTGTCTTTTACATGTATATTGTACACCATACTACAGGCCGTATCCATTGCAAAAAAAGGTGGATTACCCACCTCTTTTAAAGTACTCTTTTTTCCTTTATCTTTGGTTTTAATATACAAAATTCAAATATTGCATAAGAATCTAACGGTTGAATAAGCTTTGTTTGATTTAAAATGTACTGTTTCCCGGTAAGTATATTTTTTATAAAATATATTTGTTCTTAGAAAAAGAAAAACATAGAGACAAATCAGATAAAGATATCAGACGAAGCTAGATTGGGCCCTAATGCAATTGAACACTGCACTTAATTTCATCAGATTCATCATAAGACAGAAACTAAAGAGCTGATTTTTGATTATATGCATGATCTTTGTTCATGTGTCATATCGATGACCCTCATCTAATTATATCTATCACTAATATTATTAATTATCATAATCCACTTATTACATATTCTGGTAGCAATTTGACTTTTTGGCTATAGATTTAATCCATATCTACCGGGGGGCAAACTAACCAAACAAAACCTAATCAACATTCCCAATTATTCTCCTGTGATTTGCATCATTCTTTATACAATGAAAAGGCAGTTAAAGTTACGTTTCAAAAGATAAAAAGAAAGGTCGGTACTTCAATGTTAATCTTAATTAACTTGGTTAAATAATAGCACTAATCGTGAAAGTGGATTATTTGATAGAGATGTTACTCTAATATTTATAAGGGTAAAAGATCTTTTCGTTGATCTTTGCTAAGTAGATAATCAAATGGATCATGACAAAAATTACAAAGTCATAATAATCATTACCCTTGAATTATTTTCAATTAGAAAACAAGATATTTGGTGCGCAATCACCATCAACTTCATTTTGAATCTTGATTAGGGAGTTCAGAGAAGGAGTAGGTTTTTTTTAGTTAGAAACAGGTTAACCGCCAACTGTTAACGGACAGTGGTATAATCACTTTATTAACAATGTAATTATGTGCTTAATTAGATTTTTACTTGTTGCATATGCAGCAACATTTGTGTCACATTTAATATCCACGTAGTAGCTTGTAGACTTGTAGTTCCGTATGCGCCTCATGGCGTCTATAATGGAATGAATTACAAATCCTAGTACTATCTTCTTTTCTTTCTTGCCATACAAAAGCACTGATCCCTTATTTTACTACTAGCTATAATAAAAATAAATACCAAATAATAATTTAGACTGCCAAATCTACAAAAAAAACTGTGCCACATGTCATTCTTTAGAAAACACTCTACCACAACCAATAGGTCTAAGTGGAATTGCTCATGTTACGGGCTTAAGCCCATCCGATCAATATATTTTTTAATTTACCCGAGCACCCTTAAGAAACAAAAATTTAGAAATCATTATCCAAATCAGGCCCAATCCAGACCAACGAATACCAGCAGCCTTTGCCTCATCAACGCATGCCTAATCCAGTCTGAGCTAATGTTTCCTTTTTCATACAGGCCAAGCTAAAGTAACCCTTCAGCACAAATATTAGCATCATCACACGCAAATACAAGCCACATTTACGAGTTCGTTTACAGATAAAAATACTATAAAAATCAGTAAATATATTACAACGAATGCGACGATATCTCCCATATCTCATCTCATTGTCAGGAGACAAGGAAGACTTTAACAAAACCAACTGAGATTCGCAAAGGAGAGAATAAAAAATTAGTACTTACGAGGGGAAATAAAGCATGAAATATCAGTTCATGCTAAAAAGTAAATAGCAATAACATCCAAAGCAATTTTAGAAGTAAACAAAAAAGAGATCTCACAACACAGAATATAATTTCTGACTGGTCTACCAAATAAGATTTGAAAACAAAAGCAATATCCAATAAACAAAAATGATAAGTCTAGGAAAAACAAAATCCATAACTGAATCCCTCTCTTTACTCATCATTTTTCAGATGAGGACAGCTTACATAAATAGGTTGGGCCTGGATGCCTTGTATGTTGTCCTAAGCTTCCTGGTTGGTGGCCTAACCTTCTTGAACACCAATGGGAACTTGATCTTCGAGTTGTGGAATTGCTTGCTGCTTTCTCTTTTGCAGAGCTTAGCTGGAATGGTGCCAGTCTTGATTATCTGAATGCATGGGAACCTTACTCTGTGTCGGGAAGCCATCTCAGTGTACATCTGTTCCACAGCACCATTCAAAGTGGTATCTCTGTATTCCTTGTACATGTTGTGATAGCCAGTTCGGCTTTGGTAACGCAACCAAATGCCATAATTCTTGATCTTAGTTGGGTTCTTCTCAAAGATCTACAAGTCAAAACAAATAAATCATCAGAACATAAAAAATTTACGTTATGAGAACAAACAAAAGAACATAACTGACATCCAGGTAAACCTTAACCAAAGGAAAAAACAACGTTAAGAGAATTAAAAATCCTTCCATAACACATGCCATTCAATCAAAACAGTATAATACATAGAGCAAATGTAGTTGCTCAAGTGTTCCCCCAAAGCAGCATGAAATATTTGAGGGAAAGATAAGACAAAAGCAACACAAGTAATATTGCTTCAAGGGAACGAGTCAAGAGGGAATGGGTTATATCCACACTGACCAGATTATGAAGCATCAAGAGCTAGTTCAGCCTTATGTCATTAAAACAATATTGTAAGGGATCCAACAACACATTTAATTTCCAAGAAATTAGACAAACAAGAAATAAACACTGAAGAAATAGAAAAAAGCAATTCAGCTGCTCCACTGTTCTCCATAAAGCTACAGTGAGTAGCTGAAGAGTTATATGATAAAAGCAACACCATTTATATGGCTTCAATTGGCAGTAAGTCATATCCACACTGACCAGATATCGGAGATCAAAACCATTTCTTGAAGTTCAAGAATACAGAGTAAATAGTTCTCTTCAATTTCAATTACAAAAAAATTGCACTAAGATAAATAATTCCAATTGCACGATGCATCCAGAATGTCTTTGTTCTGGATATGTTGCTGCTCTCAGTGTTCACCCAAAGCAGAGTAGGAGTAACTGAGGGAGCGAGATGCGAAAAGCAACTCAAGTCGTGTTGTTTCAAGGGAACGAGTCAAATGGGAATGAGTCATATCCACATTGACTAGATGATGAAGCCAACATTTATATGATTATTCAGTGGAAACACAATCAACATTCATTTCAAAACTGATAATAAATAAATTCTCGATGAAGCAAACAAACAAAAAATATACGTAAAGCTTACAACAATTAAAATGTCTAAATTTTTAAAAAATAGCATTCAGAATTATCATTAAAAGCACATTTTTTCCTGAGCCAAAATCTGGTGAACTAGCAGTGCATTCAAACAAACATAATAAGAGAACAAAAACAAACCAAACCAGACATTCTATGGAACATTAAAGTTGCAACGCTTTTACCATACAGCAAATTTTTATACCTCGTTAATAGCAAGTACTTGGCCATTGCTCTTCTTGACCTTTTTCAGCTTCCTCAAGAAGTACCTGTCCAAATCAACAAATATAAATAACAGAGATTAAACAACATCCAATCCCCACATTAAAAACACAAAATCAACGAGTCACTCACCAGAACTTGGACTTGGCCCTAACCTCATTAGTGGCCCACAGCTTCATCCGATAAATTTTTGGATGCTCATCATTCTCAGTGGGCAACCCTCTTCCAACAACCTGGTATTGGTGAAACTGCATCCCGAAAACAAAGAAGATCAATTAATTTCCCCAAAAATGAAACCATATATATCTGATTTTCTATGACCTATCACTTGTCTGCTAAAAGAGTCCTAAAATAGCACACATTTTCAACTACTAAAAAAAAATTAAAGGCTCCTAAACCACTGTTAACAGCTTAAATCTGAGTAAATCTTTAAATACTTGTAGCATCAAATCGGCAGAATATATAACAGAACGTATTTTCTAACAATACCTATTCATCTAACAATGTAAGACATACATATATGCAAAAATAAAAAAGAACAGAGAAAATGAAAACGGAAAGGAAACGTTTAGTAACCAAACATTACGAAAATGGATAGATACCATAAGACAAGCGGAGAAACAAACACTAAAAGAAGAACTTAAGCAATGGATGCGTAGAAAGATCAGGTAATAACCTTGTAAGTTACCATCGTCTCGAGTGAAGAGAAGCAGATGTGTAAGCGAGGCTGCCGTCGTCCTCTCCTTCGCTCTCGTTTCAGTGGTGAAGGCTAAAGAAGTAGGGTTTATTAGGTTTATATAGTATGCAGCCCAGGTCGAAAACCTAATTGGAGAGGTATTTGATAAGATAACTGTCTGTGCTAATAAAGTTTGCGAACGTCGATTTAGATGCCTACACGTGTAAATTCGTACAATTGGATGGGTATTTCTTTCTTATAGCTAATTTGACACCTGTAATTTTTAAATATATTCAATTGAGTCCATACCTTCTGATTTTGGTAAATTAAACTCAGTTTTGGATAAAGTAATAAAAATTAAAAGATAGTTTATATCTCTAAATACTGAAAATTTGTTTTTACATTTTATAATTTTAAAAAATTATTTTATCCAAACTAATTTAATAATTTTGGCCAAAAATTAAACTTAAAAAAATTAGTCAAAATTATATATATATATTAAGTTTATTTGGTGACATGTGAACTCACTTATTAAGTTTAAAAGACACTTTAGTTTTGAAAAGCAATTAAGCATTATACAAGCCATAATTTTTGTTCAAAAAAAAAAAATCGCTCAGCCAAAATTATAAAAACAATTAACGCTCATACTTGTTATTTTATTTTTATTATCATTTAGCACAAAAAGAATAAGAAGAATGAACGAAGAAAAACCCAAGCGAAACAACCAGAATTAACAAAAACAGAAACAATCAATAGCAAAAAAAAAAAAAAAAAAAAAAAAAAAAAAGGCGAAACACAGAATTGACAAAAACAGAAAACAAAAAAAAAAAAAAAAAAAAAAAAAAAAAAAAAAAAAAAAAAAAAGGAAGAAAACCAAAGGAAATTGTAGTGATATCTCCCACCTCAGCTAATAAAGATAAGAATTGTGGTCTAAATTTAGAACTTAAAACAAATTCATCGAATTATTATTATTATTATTATAATGCGTTAGTGTTAATTTTACCCGATGAACTTAAAATGTGTATGAATGAATTCTAAAAATTTTAAAATTGAAATAAGTTCAAAAAAATAAAATAATCATTAACTTTTATTTTTAAAATACGCTCTATATTAGCATAATAAATTTAAAAGGTTAAAAAGATAGAAAGTTTTATCATAATAGGTTGTTTAAATTTATTAAATTCATTTAGAAATTTCACTTTTTTAATAAATTTTCAATCTAACTATATTCAAATCTATAAAATTAAATTCATAAAATCAAATTCTTACTTTTTTTTTTCTTGTACAAAACACAAAAATTTGAATGTATAATCGAATTCTACCAAATCTTGTAAAATTCATTTATTGCAAACAGGGCTCAATTAACAAACTAGTGTCTTTTAAATCGGGTTTGTCAAATTTACCTCTTTCCACTTACGTGATTTCTCGAGCGAGAAAAAAAAAAAAAAAAAAAAAAACGAGCTGAGAAAAAAAAAAAAAAAAAAAAAAAAAACAGAATAAGGAGAAAAACAAATTAATTCCTAGCAACAATGGGAAGTTGCAGTACCTTATCTTTTCTCTCATTTTTTTTCCGCAATCAAATAAGATATATATTTACAAAATATATTTCTAGCATTTATCACAATTGTCTTTGAAAAAAAAAAAAAAAAAAAAAAAAAAACAGAATAGGAGAAAAACAAATTATTCCTAGCAACAATGGAAGTTGCAGTACCTTATCTTTTCTCTCATTTTTTTTCCGCAATCAATAAGTATATATATTTACAAGATATATTTCTAGCATTTATCACAATTGTCTTTGAACATTAAAAAAGAAAACTTCAAAATAGAAATTAAATATAAAACGACCATTTACAGAATTTGGCATTTGAAAATAAAAAACAGTCAGTCGCCATATAAAAGTCATGTCATCACCAGGTGTGAGCTCCTTTAGTTACCCCGAGAGTAACAGCAATCATGGCAAGAATAGACTGAAAAGATAAAATGAAAATTCAGTATGGGCAAAGAGAGTTTATAAACACTTAATTTCCTACTTCCTAGAACCTAAAATATGAAATAAAGTTCATTTTGGAAATAAAAAGAGAATCAAGCACTGCAAATGGTGGGGTTTGATTCAAGAAAAATGAGCCTTCATGCGACTCCTTCTCGCATCGACAAAAAATGATCCTAAAATAATTTCATATTGAAAAGAGCTGTCCAGCTTCCCCTGACTAAAACTTAATTCCGAATCCAACAACCAACTTATATACATGGAGGATAGCCAGGGTATGCAGCCCTATAGAGAAACAAGGGATTCTTTTTAGTCATGAAGAAATGAGTATAGAGAACCTCAAAGGTGGAGTTGTGGAGCAGACACAAATTTCGTGTAGCAAGGTTTATATTGAAACCCAGACATCAACAAACAACTATTTGTCCATTGACATGGGCAAAAAAAAAAAAAAAAACAAATGCTATTTGGCAACTAGAATAAGCACAATTCCAGCAGTACATTCATCAGCTCGGCAAATAAACGAGCATATAAGATAACCTAACCTACATCCCCAAGCAAGGGAAGAATTAAATGATGAATGGGATTCACTTACAGCTATCGCACATGCAACATATCCAGCCTTTTCTCTGTAATCCACTTGTACACAGAGCACGATAAAAGTACCAACATACCAAGGAATGCCACCTAAAAAGAACCCAACAATAAACCTGGCAAAGAAAGGAAAACAGATACCTCAATTACACATAGACAACAGAAAAAAATGTGACAATTTTTTTTAGAACCAATCAGAAAGTAGAATAAAATATATGACTTTACACATGATGAAAGGCTTATGTTCTCAATGTTAGGTTTCGTGAATCAATCCCAGCTTCATCCACTTCCTAAACTTAAAGCTCCATATTTAGTGAACCAACCATGGAGAGCAATGCACTAAAGTGTAACTTGGAAAATTTATTGGGTACACAACATGGCCAAATAGAAGCAAAAAAATCCCAAAACTTAGGATTTTGTATGGGTGGCGAAAGCATGCTGATGGAAACAGAAAATATAAAAAAGGAGGTCAAAAGATCAATAGAAGAGATTAAATCCAAAGAAATGGGATAGAGAAGCTAGCCATCTACAATATCTCATCATTATAAAGAGAAGTCAATTTGAGCCAAGTATCGAAACTTACTATTAAGAGGTTACATGCTTGATTCAATCACCTAAAAATTTCACAATACTCATCCGCTTTAATGAAATGAACAGTAATCTGAGTTTCATTCTGTTTTCATTTGTAATGCACATAGTAGTAACGAACAACAAATAAGCTTCAATAACGTAACAGAACGTGTTCTTCTTTCTCAACCAAATTTGATCATAAAATGGGCAAAGGCAATTATCACGCTGATAAAAATTCACAGAACAAAAAATAACATAGGAAGGATCAATAATATGGGAATATTACATCTCACTACAAATACCATGAAGGAATATACAACAAGAATCAGAACTATGATTTCTAGGAGCTAATTTAGTGCAGAAATTACAATGTTAACTTACAAGAACCATCCCATGCCCAAACCACAACATGGAAGCCTGTGTTCTCTCACGGGCCTTCCCTCAATAACCGCATAACCTATCATGAAACACAAATTCGATAAGCTATAAATTCAAATTCAACCAAAAAATAAAATTTGTATAAAGAACCTCCATTAAGTATTATATCTTCATGAACACAAAGAAAAACAAAAAAGAAATTTTAAGTCAGGTTTTAATTGAAAGTTATAGATTTAAAAAAAAAAAAAAAAAAAAAATTAATTGAAAGTTATGTTAAAAAAAAAAAATAAAAAAAAAAAAAAAAAAAAAACAGATATCACCAACTGAAAATTCCAAGTATATTATATATATAAACATCAACAATAAAATTATGGAAATATATACCTGTTGCAAAGCTATTATATCCATGAGGAAAGTACTGAGGATTAGCGATGGAGCCATGAGGAGCAATCGGCTGAGGAAAACCGACAACCGTATGGGGCGGGGGCGGGGGCGCGGGCTGCGAAACAGAAGGATAGTAATTGGCGACGCCTTGAAAAGTCCCATAATACTGGGTCTGCGGGTTGCCGGTGACGTTGACGCCTCTGTTTTTTCCTTCTTCGGTCATCGTTTCATCAATTACTTATCTTTTTCCGTCAACCTAAACTGGGATTAGAGTTTCACGAAAACGGGAAAGCCGCTGATCTTTTATATTTTCGCCTCCTCCTCTGAGGGAACTGAATTTTGGAGGCAAAGAAAAGGGGCGGTGAATTCCAGAGGAGAATTGGCTGACGGTGGCGTAAAGGAAAAGTAACAAAGTGGCCGAATTTAGGGCTTTAGGGCCAAAATCTGATGCCCAATAACGTGACGGACTGGATTTCTGTTGGGCTTCTTAAAATGGTAAATTAAGGGTTTGCTCTGCTCCTGGGCTTTCCATGGTCTTTTCTAAATGGTTGGGCTTTTTTTAGTCTTTCTCAAATTTTGCAACTAGCTAAAACATTATTATGGAAGACATGAATATCATTGCAATCCACAATTGTAGATCCAATTCTTTTTTTTTTTTTTTTTTTGAGGTGAATTTTTTTTTTTTGAGGTAGAATAATATAATTTTTTAAAACAGAAAAGAGGAGAACAAGTAATAAAATTAAAATTTCATGAGTCAATTTAAAATTTTTCCTTTTTGGATGGTAATTTTTTTTTTTTTTTTTTTTGAGGTGAATATATAATTTTAAACAGAAAAGAGGAGAACAAGTAATAAATTAAATTTCATGAGTCAATTTAAATTTTTCTTTTGGGATGGTAGGGTTTGCAACTGTAAGATTTTCAGATAATTTTCTATGTTTAATACATAATATATCAAATATGAAAATTTATTTTATATCCTTGCAAAAAAAAATAAGACCAAAATTTATTTTATATCCTTGCAAATAAAGTAAGACCAAAATTTATAAAATGAATTTCGATCATGCTTTCGTTGTAAACTGCCAAGCTCGGTACCTTCGGATTAGCAAGGGCTCTAAGTACTGACAAGTTACTGTGCCAGACACTTCGAGTGTAAGAAATTCCAAGCTCGCTCACTTGGTCATTAAAATCTTTGCTATGAAACTAAGGATGTATTGAGTGTCAAATGACTACATGCTCAAATTCGCTCCACCTCTTTTATATATAAAACCATCTCCTCTTATGTTTCTCCCAATTGGTTTCTGTGCCTTCTTCTAGCTCCTGCGTACTTCTGTCTTGACAGTTTTAACTGCTCATAGGAGTAGCCACCCATCTTTGCAGCAGCAGCTAAAATCATTTTCCACTACTATTTTCTGTTTCCAAATTGCATCAGTTCCTGATGGGAAATCAATATCAAATTTTACTCATTCCTGTCCAAAGGATCTCCCATCTAAAGTCCTTTTTCCTGGCGGTGCTTGTATGTACTGCTTCAATTCTTGCCCAAATATGCGATAAAGAGGACTTCCTGATCTACTCCAATCACATCGCTAGCTGCCATGGATTCAGTTCCCTTGCAAGCAGCGGTAGGTATAGGAGTTGCTGCTACCTACTGTGAAAGCAAGTTCTCTTGCTTGCGCTGTAGTGTCATTAAGGTAGACAATTCCAAGAATTCTATTAGTCCATCAAATAATTAATGTACTAATTTACAGCAGAATTTATGAAGTCTCGTCCAACTTTTCAGAAGCATTATTTGGCTCTTTTTCACCACTAGATTGGTACCTTCGGATTCCAAGAGTCTTGTAATCCCAGACAATCTCAGATATCTCATCTTGAGGCAAAGTTAAACTTTGATGTTTTATTGATCTCCATAACTCACAAAAGAATTTTGGGTCTTGTAGTCTAATGTATTCATGCAAAACCCGTTCATGATCTGGGATCCAGTTCCTTGGAAATGGAGTGTAATCACAAGACGGAATCAAAGACATATGGGAGAATTGAACACCTTCAATTGCATCCACAAGTCCCATCCTCAAAAGATCAGAATACTCGGGTGCAGAATTGTTACTACTCTCCCTCAGTGGTCGACTGAGATCACGCGAAGCAATCTTGTATACCTTAGCACGAGATTTTAGTCTATACCTGGCAGCATAAAGTTTCGCCAATGAGCTGCGTATCACATATGCACAAAATCCAACAACTTTCTTTCGATTATCAGCATATCGATACCAATCAGCCATGGTCTCAAGAAACTTGTTCATTTGGGCATTAGTATGAGCTTGACTTGAATAGAGCATAGGATTGCAGGGCAACGGCTCTGGATCCTTATCACCTTTAACAAACTGAAGGCGCCTAAATTGGCGAATACACTGTTGCAAGCTAGCAGTAACTGAAAGTAAAGTCCCCACACCCCTTTCACTCACAATTTTGCCTCCACTTGCTGTGTAATGAAGTGTGGGGTATATCACTCTTCGGCAAATTATATGATCCAAAAACTGAATTCCCCTTGTTATGTGTTCAATCTCAATTTTAGAATTATCCAACCTGATCCCAAGCTTAGCATCACAAAACTCGATGATTTCCTTCCGAATTTGCACTGCATCCTCTCTGGGGCCTCGAATGCCAATCAGAAAATGACCTCCATATCGGATGTAATCCATTTTCCGGGTTTTTTCTTTTCCACTGGATGGGACGAACTCTGGCCAAGAAGGGTTATGACACCCATCATCAATTGAGTCTCTCCATATGGAATCAAGCTTATTTGGCCTAAAGAACTTAACAATCTTCGCTTCCATCATTTGGTCCAATTCATTAAGACAAACATTGGCAAGCAATGGACTCAAAATCCCACAATAACCGTAATTAGGTACCTTCACTGCCTCCTCTGGAGCAAAATCAAAGAAAGTTCTCAACCAGTAAGGGTCAGGTTTTGGCTCATTCTCATTCAAAATCTTCTTTTTTGTAACCCTCTTCTTTTTCTTCCTCCTCAACTCTTCATTGTCACCGATCTTTTGTGATTGTTGACTCCTAATTTGTGTTTTAAGCGCAGTTTTTATCAAATTTAACACTTTCTTATCTTTAACAACCTTTTCAACGCATTCTAAGACAACATTATCATCAATAGAATAAAAAATCTCACTTATATCACCTCTCAAAAACCATAAATATCCTGCAAAGTTACTTCTTATTGTCCTAATTACAGTGTGTGCATTTCTGCCAGGTCTAAACGAGTGAGACTTACTCGAAAACCGCGCTTCAAAAAATGGTTCCAGCACCATTAGTAGAACTTCCTGAACCACCCGATCCTGAAAGCATGGATCGTTCGAGTCCAGCATTGCTTTGAGCTTCGTTTTGGAGACAAGTTTGTTGAACGGGTTGTCATTTGGACTGCGGATGATTTGGTGAGTCTTGTCGTTCCATTTGAAACGGTTGTGAACGACTTCTTTTTGGAGGGAGAGGAGAGAATGAAGAGTGTGGGAGTGGAAAGCGCTTCGAGGAGGGAATGTTCCAGTAATGTGAGCACAGGATCGCTGGTAAGCGAGGACCCAAATATCGAGTTTTGACAGGAAACCGGTTAGGTTTTGGAAGGTGGCCTGTGGAGGTGAAGAGAAGGATTTGACCCAAAGAGAAGTGCATATTTCAATTGGGTCTTCTTTAAGAAGAGAGTACGGGTCTTGATGAGTTCGCGGGCTTCGCTCGCACGGGTCTTGACGATTTGCTAGTGAGGAGAAAGAGCGAAGAAAAGGTAGAGATTTTAGGGAGAAAGTAGAGGACGGAATGTGTTCGATAAATGTCCTCAATGACATTTCTTCGAATCTTCCGACTGATTCAAAAGGTATATAATGCTATTTGGCAATGTTGAATTTTGGGTTCAGCGGAAGAGTGAAGAGGCGGTGGCACTCGTTGTTCCCGGTGACATTTTCTGGGTTTCGCTGGGAAATTGTTGGCGGGCTTCGCTCGTAAGCATAAGATACTATCGTTTGAAATGACCCCTTCTTGGCGAAGGCCAAATTGTCGGTTAATTAGCCCCCTTATATGCTTTTTTTGTCGCATTTTTACCCTTCATTTCCGCGTTGGAAAAAAAAAGGGCTTAATTTAATACATAAATTAGCATTTCAATTTCATTAGAGAAGTATAATGACAATTTCATTATACATAAATTAGTATAATTACATCCAACCGGTGTGATTGATCAATCTTCTTACTTGCGAAGTTTCGGCTTATTAAGCCTCTTAGAAAAAAAAAATCTTTACATATTTTTCAATATCAATATTATATTTAACAAAAATAATAGTTTTATACTTTTAATATAAATTATTGAAGCCATATTGAAATTAATGGAGAGTAAAATTTTAAATAATAAAGTTAAGGAGGTAGAGTGGCTAGAGTTTTTTGAAAAAAAAAAAAAAGAACTAAGTAAAATATTTTCTCTTAAAGAATAGAAAAGGAATAAAGTTAAATATGTAATTAGTATAATTTTATAATTCAAAAGATTTTATAGATCAATATAAAACTTAAGATTGCTATTGAAAATATAAAATTTTTTTATAAGTTCATACATTAATTTATGTATTTGATCATAAAAAATATTCGCTTTTGAAAAGAAAACAACGAATATATATGTGTTATATAAATGAATTTCATCAAATTTACGTTGCAAATATAATATATATACCATTTTCAAACACTATGATAATTATAGAAATATATTAAAAAAATAGAGTTGATAGAGGCCAAATTAACAAAAGCCTATCTATGCAAAATATTAATTTACAGAAGATTATTAGTGCACATATATATATATATATATATATTTTTTTTTAACACACCAAGAAATTAAGATTGCATATATGGACTGGAAACAGTTTGCATGCATATCTTGCATGCATTGGAGTACACGCTACGAAAATGTTAGTAGCCCATGAAACAGTAACCCTGCAAACGATGCAAAATCACATGGTTTTGTTGAATTTTGTGGGTCAATAATACTCAAATGGTAACTGTTGAATAATAACATAACAAAAATATCAAAGCAACAGACATCTCTCATTGACTCTCAGTAAGCATATACAGCATTAATGGACATCGTGTGTTTGAAAGTGAGATCTAATTATACTTTTCCAAAAAAAAAAAAAAAATCATCTTAGATTATTTAATTAAATGATATTGAAAAATAAATTTGAGATTATTATTTTTTGGAGCTTCAATTCATAATTACAGCGTATTATGTTTACCTTTTAGTTAACAGGAGTGTTTTTCTTTATTGACATACATAAATTTTTCAATAGCTTAAATAATAGTAATGTATATTAAAAAAACATGCAAAAGAGATTATGATTTAAAATTTTAATTAATATTACCTCATTTGAACAACATTTCCAATGCATTAAAAAAAAAAAATACTACCATTAATAAATTGAATTAGAATGAAAGAGTCAATCTAAAATAATTATAAATCTAAAAAAAGTTCGTAAAGATTAGAACCAGGAGATAGAAGGGAGCAAAGAAACAAAGTCAAAAGGGTTCTTCCTTCTTGTTTGTTTATAAAACTTAACTAAATTTTTTATTGAAAATTACAGACTAATTCCTCTTAAAATATTTAAGGAGATGAATGTTTCTTCTATTGATTCAGTATTCTGATTTGTAAAGTTATGTGTAATTTAAGAGGCCAAAATACAGAAATACATACTGAAAAGTTTCATTTTATCAGTAATATTTTCAAGAAAAGAAGTCCAAATATGATAACTTCAGATAGAAGGGAAGATCAGATTAATCATGCATCAACAAAAATAAAATAAATAAAATAACAAAAAATAAAAGAAAGAAACTGAATATACAAAACTCAATTGGGTTTTACATCTATTAATTTTATTCTATTATCATTTGTTACAATGTATCCAAAATCGTGTCTACACATTCAAAACCAGTAGCTTCAAATAAAAGAAATTGAAAAAAAAAAAAGGAAGAAGAAGAACAAGAACTGTAACAAGAATCGCCCAGAAAGCTTGAGAAGAAAGATAAAGAAGGATTTGAAAACTAGGGTTTCGTGTTTGATGAAAGATCGCAGTGAAATGTGAGTCTGGAGGTGGGTTTCTCATTATGACAAGGAGAGGAACCAGAAGGAGGAACAAAGCCCTTGGGCAACATAACAGAGAAAGCTCTAGTTTTAAAGTTCTTGATCTGTTTCCTTCTCTTCTTCACCACTTTCCCTTTCTTATTTTTCTTCTTCTTGTTGATCAGTCCTTCATTGTCGTCCAGGAAGAAAGGTTGGGCGTTCTTGATGTAGAAAACTTGGTATTGGGCGGGTTCTTTCGGAGAGGTTTTGGGTTGGATTCCATGCGAAGTGGAAGGGAAAACGAAGTTGGAGATGACGAGGAAGAGAAAGAAGATGAAAGGGCAGAAAAGCTTCAAAAAATGGAGATTGAAACCCATGAGTGTTGAGAGATTTTGCTTTGGTGCATTTATAAATGAGAAAGAAATTGGAGGGGAACTGATTAGCTATGAGATTGGTGAATCTGTTAATCCCAAAGGGTTTCTTTTGTTGCTTTTGAGGCACAGAAAGAGATTAAGGGGGTAAGAGGAAAAGAAGGTATAGGGTTCTATATAAAGTGATCAATATCTAATTAGACTAATTAAGAGTTTCGTAATCCTTCATTGCCGACTCAATGATTAATCAAAACTAGGCACAATTTTTTTTTTTTTTAGGTTAAATCGCACAATTTTTTCTTAATCCATATATTTCGCATAGATTACACATAGAAAATATATATAAAAAAAATGATACAATGATGGAAAAAATAGCACCTAGATGAACATATAATAGATTTTCCCAGTAAATTGGTAAACTCTAATACGAGAATTGAATCAATATAATTCTAATTAAAAAAATAAATGAATTCTCAAAAAAAAAAAAATTATTATTATTATTCATATCATCCCCTTTTCAATAAGTATACGATCTCTAATATTTTTTTATATCATTTATTTATATTCATGTAATGGAACTTTTTTTTTGAATTTTAATGCATTTTTTTTTTCATCACAAATTTATAAAATTGAAAAGATAAATTTGCAAAATATTTAATTAAAATGCGAAAATACCTAAATTTTTACATTTTATTTGCACTAGTCATTTTCTTTAACAGTTATTTTTCACCTATGCATTTGGATATAATGAAATAAAAAATAAATTTATTTTCTTTATTTAAAAATGGCAAAATTTTAGAGAAAATAAAATATTATTCTTGGCAAATTTACAATTCTATCCTCATTTATTTTATTTTTTGAAATATTTGGATAATTTAATAAATTTTCACTTTCATCATTTTCTCTCTAAATTGAAAATATTCAAAACATATTGATCCAGAAGAAAAATAAATGAAATATATATTTTTCAATATTTTCTTTTCTACAAACAAAGGAAAACATTTTTTCCTATATATTTTTCGTGATTCCTTCATTCAACAAAATACCTATATCTAAACAAATGTTTAAGGAATATAAGTGATCATTATATTCTATGAAAAAAAAATATATAATCAGTATATTACCCAACATTAACTGAGTTTTATTTCTCTCTCTATATGTACAACACATATATAATGGAGTTTGTTCCTAATATATATTATACAATATGGATCTTTTTTTTTTCCTTTGTAAATTGTTGATACCTATGTCAATTTTAGGTGTGAAAGAGAATTTAATTTTGGTAAATATATAAGTACATATGTACACATAATAATACTTCAAAATCAAAATTTTGGGTTGGATAATGCATATCTTATTCTAATTAATTCCATAAATATTTTATTTTTAAAAATATTAAAGACAACTTTATATTAGTGAGATTCTATTTAATTAAGTTTTAATTGTTAACAAAACTATATTAATTTATTCCATCCACAAACATCTAAACTTACATTTAACATAAATACATTTCTCCTTGTAAATTGCGACAGTTTTTAGCATTTTTGCGGGTACATTTCACCTTAACTTTGCTACAACAACATTGTCACATTTTGTTTCTTAAAATAAAATCAAACACGTCTCTCTCTCTCTCTCTCTCTCTCTCTCTGTTTTTTTCTGAGATAGTATAACATTTGCCAGATCAACCCTTTGACTAAAATTCTTAAACACTCGGTCTCTCAACTGTTACGTAATGGTGCGAAGTGTAAAACAGACACGAGTCACGATCCGAATGACGGAAGGCAACGGTGCCAAAGAAGCGGAGAAAAGAAAAGTCTCTCTACTGTTTCCGCCACATTGTCATTGACTTCAATTGAAAGCCAGCACCGCGTTTTGAAAGTTAATAAACTTCTCCTCCTACCTCACCTTGTCTCTCCTCTGTTCCTAAAACCGAACCAAACGGCAAACCATACAGAAAAAAAAAAAAAAACATTTATTGATCTTTTACCATTCCCGCGAATCCATTACCGTCCCGCCCAAATTTTTTTCCTCTCTCTATCTCTCTAATTTCTCCGTCGAAGTTTTGATTTGATCCAATTCTCAATTTGATCTAATATAATTCTCAAGTGGGAAGTGTTTGCCATTGCCACTCTGCCTCTCTCTGCAACTGAACATAGCAGAGCGAGTGAGGCAGATCACTTATTTACTGGAGAAACCCTAATTTAATCTAAATATGTCGAAATCGCTTCCTTATTCTATGAAAGATGTGCACTATGATAACGCCAAGTTCCGTCAACGGTCTCTCGTCAAGGTTTTCATCTTCCCTTAGATCTCTCTATTGTGCGATCAATTTGACAGTAATTGTTTCTCTCTCCTGAATCACTTTTGTGCTTGTTTGATGGTCGCTAGTCTAGTTTCGGTTCAATTGTGCCATCGCGTAGCTTGGTGAGTTTGATTGTTTATGAGTTTAGGAGATACTATTAAGTTGTATTGCTTTAAAAATAAGTTAATTATGAGGTATCTTTGTGTATTTGTTTAATTATAATCTAATGGTGACGACGCAAAATAGTTTTGAAGCCTGAACTCTGCACTGTTGTTTCGATTTAAGGATTCTATTTCTTTCTACTGTATTGCTTATGTATTTGTTTTTCCCCATTGTCTGTGGATCTCTTATAAAGGAACACCAGTAGTCGCCCGTAATAATTTTCAGATCCAGTGATTTCTATTTTTTCTTATATGAATTATTTACTGATGGATTTTACATCTATTTGTTGGAGCTGTTTGTGTATGGAATTCTTATCTTACAACTCATTATTCAGTTATTTTTTCAGTGTAACTCAGTATTACTTGCTCTCATTAATCCCTAATTGTTGTCCAAGTTCTAAGCATTGGCTCTAGTCAATTCAAAATGTGAAATATTCATAACAATGTCAAAAATTTACCCAATTCAATAGGATGCCCTCGTGTTACCTCTTTAAAGTCTCTGTTTTACAATTTTTTTTTGTGCATTTGAGATTCTTTATTTTCCACAATATAAATATTCATTAATTCACTTTGGAATCTTCCCAACTTATTATGTTATTTTCTTCCAGGTGATCTCACAGTCCTTGATAACCACTAACTTAAAACGTGAATGTATAAGTTGTAGCACAGGGAAGTTCCTATTGTTATTAATGATCTTTGGTTTAGCATATCTTGTGCTGACTCATCCTAGTACTCCCCATTCTTTTTCTGATGGACTAGCAAAAGGAATAAAAGGTAGTGAAGAAGACAAGTTAATTACAGATGGCAATAGCAGACTTGGAAGATTTTGGAGGAAACCACCAAGGCTTCCTCCTCGATTGTCACCTGATGAGAAGGTTAGAAATAATAAACCTATTCATGAATCAGAGAAGCTTAACGCTGATCCAAAATGGACAGAAAGGCAACAAAAAGTGAAAGACGCTTTCATCCATGCTTGGTCTGGCTACAAAAATTATGCAATGGGCTATGATGAACTTATGCCACTCAGCAAGCGGGGAGTTGATGGATTAGGAGGCCTAGGTGCCACTGTTGTGGATGCTCTTGATACTGCCATGATAATGGGTGCTGATGACATTGTTTCTGAAGCAGGCTCATGGATTGAAAAACACCTTAATGATAGGATTAGTAAGAAAGGCCAAGTTAATTTATTTGAAACTACTATTCGTGTCTTGGGTGGTCTTTTAAGTGCTTACCATTTAAGTGGAGGTGAACAAGGGACTGACTCTGTGCATAAGGGGCCTAAACCAATTGTTTATCTAGAAACTGCTCGTAACTTAGCTGATCGTCTGTTATTGGCTTTTACTTCCAGTCCAACTCCTATTCCTTTTAGTGATGTTGTTCTACATGATCCATCAGCTCATAGTTCTCCAGATGGTTTGAGTAGTACTTCAGAAGTTTCAACTTTGCAGCTTGAGTTCAATTATCTCAGTACTGTTTCTGGTGATCCAAAGTATGGAGTGGAAGCTATGAAGGTCTTGGCACATATGAAGAATCTTCCAAAAGTAGAAGGTCTGGTCCCTATCTACATAAGGTACAAGTTTTCCGCCCCTATTTTAATGTTTACTCATGCAGTCATAAACCAATGCTGTCATTTTTGCTTTGCACTGTAAATACCTAAATGACTATTATTGTTGTTTTCTTTATTAACATTCCTTTCTACACCATTGCCTCCCGTTCATTCTGTATCCACTACTCATTCATGCTAAAATGCTTAGATGCAGAGTCACTCATATGCTGCATTTTCATGTGTTATTCAGCTCAACTGGAGAATGCTTTTTCCTTTTTATTTATTGTTGCTTCATGTTAGAGAGGTTATTAGGACTTAATTCTCCATGTTATAGCATCCTTTTCTTTCATATTATTTATATGAAGAAAGTTGATGTGGTCCATTTAAAATTTATTCATCTAATTTTCGTTGCCTTTATTTCCTTCTCCCCCTTTTTTTCTCAAAAACATGCGTGTGAATCAGTTCTCCTGGTTAGTGAGAGAGAATAGTGGTTTATCTAATATTTATCTTTTCATCAATCGCAGTCCTGCCAGCGGTGAATTTAGCGGAGAAAATATTAGACTGGGATCTCGTGGTGACAGTTATTATGAGTACCTAATCAAAGTATGGCTTCAGCAGGGAACCAGTCGAGATGCCAATTTTACATATCTATACAACATGTATGAAGAGGCAATAAAAGGTGTTAGAAACCTACTCGTTCAGAAATCAATCCCAAATGGATTGGTATTTGTGGGGGAATTGCCTAATGGACCAAAGGGTTCTTTTAGCCCCAAAATGGACCACCTGGTATGTGAAATTTTCGTATTCATTGTTGCAGAGTACATGCTATATAATCTTGATACCTGAGATGTGCTTAAAACTGAGCCTATTCTTTGAATTCTTTTGTTGGTTGTAATGTCCTTCAAGACATTCTGGAGAAGGACCTCTCTCTCTGATTTAGTGCACATGTTGGATGCACATATAGTATATTTAGTTGTTGCATTCTCTGATAAGCGTGGAGCGAAAGAAACAGAAAAATGTTTTGAGGAGAGGAAACATGTCTCTCACTAGTCTTAAAGATGTATGTTTAAGGCCTGCCAGATTTTGGTCTAGCATGCATTTCAATGCTCAGGTTACTTTTCATATTATCAGTTTCCTTACTTGTAAATGACTTTCTCATCTTTTGATTTTGTTGGAGAGAGATATCTGATTCTTTTTACTTTCACAGCTTTGAAATAAAAATCACTAAGTCCATCCATGATGCACGTGTTCACTAGTTGATGATACACAAACTCTCTACTTTCTTTTCCAGGTGTGCTTCTTGCCAGGTACACTTGCTCTTGGTGCCACAAAGGGCATCACAAAGGAAAAGGCGATGAAAGCTAATCTGCTCAAATTTGAAGACCTTGAAAATTTAAAGCTCGCTGAAGATTTAGCAAAGACATGTTTTGAAATGTATTCAGTTACTTCTACTGGTTTGGCCCCAGAAATTGCTTACTTTCATACCAAGGTTGGTTCTGTTTGTAATATTTATTTCCTGAGAATGCTGTTAGATAATCCACTGTTAGATGCTTCAGAATAAGTATTGTAGCACTTTTTCTTCCTTCATTGGAAGCTGTTATTCTTTTATACTTAAGAGCATGTCCTTGTGGTTATGTTTTCCAATTATTTGATTTATGGTTCTAAATTATGCAGGAGTATTCTGAAGCTGGGCTTAATGGTGGGAATAAAAGTTCGAAGTTTATTGATGACATAATAATCAAACATGCGGATCGTCATAATCTTTTACGCCCTGAAACTGTAGAATCGCTGTTTGTATTGTATCGGATCACACAGGATCCAAAGTACGTTGTTGAATATTCAGGCTTTCGGTTATCCTGTATTCTTTGATTTCATCGCATATACTGCAAACACAAAGACTGTCTCTGTCTTGTACAAGATTCTTGCATTAATCTGAGCAAATATTACTTACTGCAGATACCGTGAATGGGGTTGGCAGATCTTTGAAGCATTTGAGAAGTACACAAAGGTTGAGTCTGCTGGATACAGTTCTTTAGAGGATGTTACTATGCTTCCTCCTAGGAGAAGAGACAAGATGGAGACCTTCTATTTGGGAGAGACGTTGAAGTATCTATACTTGCTATTTGGAGATACTAATATTATTCCATTGGATAAGTTTGTGTTTAACACAGAAGCTCATCCTTTTCCTATTAAAGGCACATAAGAGGGACTGATCTGTTCTGCATCCAAAAAGTGAAGAAACACGTTTGCAAACTTATATTTTGGTGGGCAATAGTCTTGACTGCTGCTTTAAATTTTCCGGTGCGTCATTTACTGGGTTCGTCCTGGTTCAAAAGGCAATCAGTGAAATGGTAATCAAGAAGTGTTGGCAGAATTGACCTTCTTCCTTTCATGCACAGTGCATCAGTTATTTGATCCGCACTTAATTATTTACGGAGAAGAAACTTTTTCTTTGGGCTCTTATATCTTTACTGCCCACACGGTTATGACATGGTTATATTATGTAATTTTTTTTATTGAAATTTCTCATTGTTATACGTGGATGGGGTTATTTGCACCAAAAGAAATGAGAAAAAGTGCAACCATTTGTAATTGACTTCAATTTTCCTGTTCTTACTGCTTGTTTTTGATTTTGACCGATAGATTTATCCACTTTTTTGTTGATATTTGTCTATACATTGCCGAAAACATCTAGATATATGCATTTCTACATCAAAACCTTCAGAAGGATTTTTAGGTCACATCACAATCCAAAATTTCAGTGTCATTTTGAAGGAGAAACAGATGATCACCATCTCGAATGACACGTATATCATCTACTTCTGCATTCTCAGCATTGATGACTCCTGTAAATTTGTAGCCTCCAAATTTTTCACCTGCAGTGTAAAAAGGTGCTACAGTGACAAATTGGGTGAAGCAAAATTTGATAAAGCACAAGAAAGGAAAGATTATTGAGCAACTCTCATCCTTGTTCAAGGTTTGATATCTTTGGTTGCTTTTATTTGTATTCTTATTGAAACTTGATATTAATATGCTTTTTTGTTGCTCAAATTTAGGTTAGTATTAAAATGCTCTTTTGAGGTCAAACAGACTTACCACCAATCTTGAGCAACTCTTCTATTGAATCAGGTAGGATAATTAGCTTCCCATGTGGTCTCTGGAATGTACTTTTATTGTGAATCTGCATATGAATAGTGACTCTCTTTTTGGTTAGTTTTTTCGCTTCCCTATCATAAGAATAACTATAAACGCATGAGCTGGAGGTTGTGGGCACTGTTTTGGAATGAAAGTTAAACCAATTGGGCCTACTGATTCGTTTATGTTCCCCTTGACTGCTCCTGACATCATCAGTAGTTTCTGTTTCAACAAAATCTATTTTGTGTTCATCTAATTTCCTTCTATTTTCATAGCTTAGTAAGATATCATATTTGCTCCTATTTCCTTGTTGTTCTGCTGGAGCTTTTGAGGTCCACCCTCTGGCATCTGGATTGTTTGCATTTACTCCTCCTTCTAGTAGAATCTTCACCATTTCAATATGGCCCTTGTGAACCGCAGCCATTTGGCCATCCCCAGTTATTGAATTTACAGCTGCCACATGTGTAATGGAATTATGATCTATGCCTGTTTTACTCTTTTCTTTAGCCTTGAGTTCCTCAAAAGATGTATCTCCTACTTCACGCCCTGATGGATTCCCATGTGAATGATTTTGATATCCTATCTCAGAATGCCATCTTTCCTTTGGTACTCCTTCAAAGCATTCGTGGAGAATCAATCCTGGATCTCTGTTTTGGTTATCACAGTCTGTGCTTTCTGACCTGTGCAGTTTCTGTAGTTGTGCAGGATAGAAATTTATAGCATGGTGAATAGACTAAATTATATTTACTAAAAAATAAATACTTGAAATGTTATTACCTTGAAAAGATTATTCATTATGATTTGACCATCTTCTGGATTTGCCTGTATAGTGTTCATCAGTGAAGTCCTTGCTAGTCGTAGTATTTGAGAAAGCTCAGTTGTCCTTGCTGTGAAGGGTTGAGGTCTATAATACAGAACCCCTATCTCTCCAAAAATATCCCCTGCTGTAGCTTTTGCAATAACCTGTATAATCATGTGACAGTATGACCTATGAAGGCTTGCTGTGCACGTGGCAAAAATGAAGTAATGCATATGACTTGTAACAAATAGTCACCTGATCATGTCCATCTGCGTGGCACGTCAATTCCTGCACCAAGTAATGGTTTCCAAAGCAAATTAGTGTCAGATAGTATTTCTTTTTGGAACCGAGTGATAATTGATGAGGTTGAAATTAGACTCACCACTGTTCCTGAGACAAGTATATAAAGATCTGTTGAAGTTTCACTCTGCAGAATTACATTTTCCTTGGGGGGAAAATATTCAGCTTCCATTTCTGTAGCCTTTTAAAAAGAGTAAAACTGGGTTAGTTCACTGTTATGTGTTCCCAATTTGTGCATGAAATACCATACAGGTAATCAGTTTATTGTTATTTTTGCCAGCCGTAGAGCATCTTACACTTTTAGCTTAATAAGAGAAAAGGTAGGGGAGGAGAAAGGAAGAGTGTTGAGCATACATAAGAACAATATGCAATATACATATAAAGTATTATTACCAATTGAAAGAGGAAGTCATGAGAAACCCCTTGAAAGAGATAAACTTTTTCGACAATGGGGTAGAAGAGATAATGCGCGATGCTTGAACGTATTGCTTTTGGCAGGCCATTCAAGGTTTCTTGCTGCTTCAGTCCTTCTGTTTTGAACTTCAGACACAAGTGTGACAGCATTTGATCCTGTACGCGAGGTGGTAACTGATTTCGTGCAGCAAATTCTGAAGCTGCTCTGATTGTGTCCCTCTATGATGTTCAAAATTAAGTTTTTTTTATGTTAATTGTCAGATTAGAGAAAGCATTGTTTCTGTTGAAGGAAATGATACTTGAACAAAGAAACTAACTAGTAAGTTACATTGTGAAGCGTAAATTCCCAAGTGGGATGCATAAGATCAATGCATGCAATTTACAGATGATCCTAAATTATCTTATGGCAAAAAAATAGTTTTTTGCTGGTTCCGCGTCTGAAGTTCTGCATATACAATTGGCAAACTGCAGGGTAGACATGATAATAACTTGCAAAATTTTAATTGACAGATAGTGAAGTTTTGGTTTCATTTGAATAGATAGTCATTTTAAATGATCAAATATTTGGATTTGGGACCATTTTATCTTTCATCATTTTTCATTTGGAACACAAATCCAAATACTCAATTATTTCCTGATGGACCCTTAAGTACTGTTGATTTGGACTCGTGATTTATTTTAGTCCAGTTAGCTATTGCTGAATCTGTTGAATTTTTCACAGCAGGTGAAACCTATTGCAGAAGGCTACAAGTAAAACAAAACTTACGAAATTCCTTGTGCGGCTGGTCCAGTGAACTACAAGGTTTGTCATATTTCCGATGAGATAAGCTGTCAATCCCAAGTTGAACAACATATAGAAGATGTCAAAAAGCATCTCCCTGGGGTTCTCAGCATGCAAGTCTCCATATCCAGTTGTTGTTAGTGTTGTAATGGACCAGTAAATTGCAGTTACATATCTGTCCCATAGAGTGTCTTCTTTGAAATTTGGGTTCACTGCACCTATCCAAGTTCTCTTTGGATCAGGATATCGATCTGCAATCAAGTAGATAAAGCATCCTGCACAGTGTACTGCAAACAAGGTTACCTGAAATCAAGCAGACAGGGAAAGGTGGTTAGGAATTACTGAACTTGCCTGTACAACATATTTGTAATGAGTTGGAATAATTAATGACATACAGAAATAAGCTTTATGCACCGAGTCCAGAAATAGTTGAATCGGATGTCCTTCTCAAGTCTGAAAGAGGTAACCAGTTAATAGGTATTCAAGTCTTCTTTCACTACAATTTGGAATTGTCTGAAGCCATAATAAAAAAAAAGGGAAACAAAGAAAGATAGGCTGTATTAGTTAATCAACCTTGCAAAAAGGGAGCTGACCCGTCGGAGACGCCAGAGTCTAAGCATGTTGAGTAATCTAAAGCCAACTTCATTGCCGCTTTGAGTTTTGAATAGAAGGCTGAGAGACTGAAATGGTGCAGTTGAGGAGACATCAAAGATAAACCAGGTAGATATGTACCTGTGAATTGGATTGATGTGATTATTCTAATTGAACAGTGAGTGAAAGGGAAAAGGACAGGTATAGAAGGTAGCTGCCAACTGGATTAGTGTGGTTCTAATAGAAGGAAAATACTTTGTTGATTCTTCTCAATCTGAATGATGTGTGAGTAAATGCACCTGATTGCTATTTTCTTCGGATTATCAACAAGAAGATAACTGTGGCTGTCGAGATATGCAACGAAAAAGGTGAGAACAATATCAATGCCAAAGAAGCCATTGACAATGTTGTCAATGATGAAAAGTGCATCATCTTTTTTGTAAGTTAAAAATGCTAACTCGAACGGCGAGATCCAAGCAGAGTAAATAACTAGAAGAACCAGCCACATCTCCCAAGCCCTGTAATGAGGAATAGGACATGAGAAGGTATAGCTATAAATATTGAAGTCACAGAGCGAGTTAACCATGCCATGCATATAATCACCTATAATGGGAATTGTAGGGGGAAATTATGTATCTTCGAAGTTTAGTTGCCCGGTTTATTCTAGCACCAAGGGATGGTAGGAGGTCACTAGAAAAGAAGCTGCCAGGGGGGATACCTTCCATTTGAACATCATCGGTACAGAAGCGTTGGAAGAAGTTTTTGACACAGGAAAGCGACATCTTGCGTTGTTTGATTTCCTAAGAATGCTGTTAAAAGTTTTAGTGGAGATGAGTCCCTTGGGAATGGCTATATTTATATAAAATGGGAGACTTGTGAGTGGTGACACGGGTTAACTCTACTTTCTATCAGCGTCTTTTCTCAAGACTCCTCACATGTATGAAATGATTCTGCAGGTAGCTTATGCAACTAGTGCGTCATTAAGGAATGGAAATGTAAGCGGGAAAAACATGAAAAGGGAAACTTTTCATGCTGTTTGAACAGGGAGGAAGACAAAAAAAGACAGACAATGGAAGAAAGAAGGCGATGTGAGATAGCAGTATAAGTGGCAGACATGAAGCTTTCTGTAATGCAGTTGCAGCAATGAATGTACTGACTGAGAGAGAGAGAGAGAGAGAGAGAGAGCAAAGAAGATGGTAATTGTAAATGGGTAATGGTGCTTCTGCTTGGTGTGATGGCTCTGATGGTGGAAGGTCCATGATAAAAAAATATGTGGAGGCGTGTCTCATATATAGACAAAGGTCTCGCAAGGACGGAATTGAGTGACAATATATTGGCGTGTTCACTTCAAACTTCAGAGATGGACCAAGTAGCCTCGGCAGATTTATGCAGGGGATTCTATTCATGGATACCACGTGGACCAATAACAACTTTACTCAGAGGGATGGCACTTTGTGTTACAATTTTTGACTCGTTCCCCTTCTCCCTCCTTCTTAGTAAGATCCTAAAGGTTGTTTTCTTTTGGCAGCTCAATCAGAACCATAAGTGTGAAATGGATTCCGGCCATATATCCAACTGCTCTTCCCTCCCTCACTTTGCTCTGGCCTTATCGGTATTATACATTTCACCGACCTCTTTTTAATTATAGGCCCACGTTTTGATAATTTGTTGATAATGCACCTCTTGCTTATTTTATCCAAATACTAAAAGTATGTTTGGATACAACTGTAGCGTACAGTAATTGAACTCTCATGTTTAATTACTTTTCTGGATTGTTCATGCCCTAGATTATATTACGTGCTTTTTTATCTTCGTTTGAGATTAAGAATTACACTGGATACCAAAATGTTCCTGGGTTGTGCAGATGACATATATAATGTAAAAACAAGGAGTAATAACTAATAAATGAAGTGTTCAAGCGCAGGGAAACTTCGAAAACGTTGGCATTTATTTTACATGTGAAAGAAGTTTAGGTGTCCCAGAGAGATCAAGGAGGTCCCCAAGGAGCATCCATGAAAGATTCTTTTCGTGGGCTGAGAGACTGGGAATTTAGCAATTATCAGAACCTTTAAAGATTTCGGCAGAAGGAATTTTTTAAGCGCGTCATGGCCCAGGTGAGTTTAATTGCATAGTTCCTGCCTTAAAATTGTGATTTTAGATTTTTATGATGCTTATGCTTCTATTTACTATTTTTACTAGTTAAAGCTTCTTATATATATTATTATTCCATCTTATCTGGCAGCAACAACCGTGATGAATAGAAATATTGGAGTTGCATGACTGTCTTATTTTGCACATGTTGTGTCTTGACCCTTGAAAACAGAGGGTCAGTTTCGCATATGGTTGGGAGTTCCTGCGACGCACTTATTATGAAAGGAAACGGTAGCACAAATACGGATACAGGACACATGACACGATATAAAACGGACGTGAAATATGTTTTTTTTTTTTTTTTTTAAAGAAACTAGTTAAAGTCTTTCTATTAATATATATTATTATTCCATTCCTGTATCTCATTTTGAGGCAACAACCGTGAATGAATACGAAATATTGGATGGTGCAGTGATGTCTTATTTTGCACTCATGTTGTGTCTTGACCCTTGAAAACAGAGGGTCAGTTTCGCAATATGGTTGGGAGTTTCCTGCGACGGTCACTTATTAATGAAGGAAACGGTAGCACAAATACGGGATACAGGACACATGACAACGATAATAAAAGCGGAGTGAAAAATATGTTTTTTTTTTTTTTTTTTTTAAAAGGAGGAACACGCAAATAAAAAACCACGTTACTTTACAGCTAGACAACTATAATTTTATATTTTATATTTTATAAGGTCAATGTTATACTTTTAATATGAAATTAACAAAATAGCTATTTTTTTTTTTTTTTTTTTAAAGGAGGACACGCATAAAACACGTTACTTACACTAGAAACTATAATTTTATATTTATATTTATAAGGTCAATGTTATACTTATTAATATGAAATTCACAAAAATACTACAATCATCGCCTAATAAATAGTTAATGTTATAATGTTTTATCAAAGAAAATTAAATAAACAACCATCTATATTAAGTTATAAATATAAAATACAGAAAACTTAAAATAAAACTGGGAAGCATATTCAGGGTATATAATCACTACTTACTGATATGGTATTATATGTGAAGTCTAATTTACACAAATCTGTTATAGTTTGGGACATAATTTACTTTAAATTTGCGTAATTACTACAATATTTCAACTTTGTTTGCTACTTTCTTGTTCTTCTAAAAAGTTGATACTCTAAACAAAGCAAATCAAGGATAATTTAGATTTTACACTATGTCTACATAAATGGAACACCGAAAATGAAAAGTTTGTCTCTGTGAATGAATCGGAGGGAGTAGCTTGGAGGGAGTAGTTTGCAACTGATACGAATTACTTTGTTGTTTGCACCAGTAGTTGTTATGGTCAACTTTTATTTTAATTTAGGTCTAGAATTTTATTTTTAAGATTTAGAATCATAGAACAAAAATTAAAAAAAAATTAAGAGAAATAAACAAATTATAGGAATGACATACGAAATTGTTACCTTGTGAATCAATTCTTGAATTTGAAATCAATGTTGTAAGTTGACTTTGGATTAACAAATAACAATAACTAATATGCGATAAACAATTCTTGAATTTATTTATTTGTAATTTTTAATTTTAATTATGAATAAATTATCTATTATATATTTAAAACCTCAATTTAAAATTTTCAAAAGTGTTTTTAAAAATGTTTAAAAGGTTTTCCAAATGTGTCCGAAAATTAATAAAATTAAAAAAAATAATGAGATATATTTCAGAACATGTTCAAGAGATATCCGTATTCAATACGTTAAGACTTTTGAAGGCATTAGAGTTTCTTAGAATAGTGAGCTGGAGTGTAGAAAAATAGATTGCAACATCAATCTTTCTTCCCTTACCACATCAAAGAAAATTTTCCATAAACAGAATATTGAGCGCATAATTTAGTGGACATAAAATTTCTCTCACATTCAAGTGAGATTTTGCAAAGTACATATACTTTATATACGTTGGTGGGTGCAAGCTACTAGTAAACGCACTAGATGAATTTTTTGTTTCCCTTCTTTCACATTCTCCTTTAACAAATTAATGGGGTATGTTTCTTAATTAAGTTTCTAAAAAGTAATATTGGCAGGATAGCGTTTTGGGCTCTACTTTTTTAGTGCTTGTTTGTGTTATAATACTAATACTTGCTATTTATAAGACGACGGCTTGAAACATTAGACGATGTGTAGAAGCTTTATCTATCGTTGTGTATTGCAAGGTTAATATTCACGAGAAAAAGAATATTGGGTTGAAGTTGAAGTCTTTATCACCTATGTTTTTACTAGGCTGTTAAATTTGTAAGCTACTAATTAAATATCACACAGAAAAGTAGAGGTACATCAATGCTCCGTTTACCGTAAAACAACTTGTAAAAAAATAAATCGCTGAAAATAATTTCTTTGAAAAATATTTTTTAAATAATTTATTTTCCGTTGTTTGGTTGTAATGTTGAAAATTAGTTAAAAATATTGAAGTTTTTATCTCATAAGACTATAAAAAATATTAATAATAATAGAAATTTTATAATTTATAAATATTATTGTTAAATATAAGAAGAATGCAAAAATGTAATGAATAATAGAAATTTTTTATAATGTTAGTAAAATGATTATTAAGTTTAAATATAGAGAAGAATGCAAAAATTATTATATTATATTTTTGAAAGTCGGTGGTAAGCGGTCAGTTGTTGTAAATGGTTATGACTAGTACCGATAATAATAGAAATTTTATAATTTATAAATATTATTGTTAAATATAAGAAGAATGCAAAAATATATATATATATATTTTGAAAGTCGGTGGTGGCGGTCAGTGGTAAATGGTGACTAGTAACAGTGACTATAATGATTAATAAATTAAAAAAATATAGATTTATAAGCTATTTCAATATCCGAAAAATATTTTACCCTCTCGAAAGTGAAAAGTTATTTTCATTAAAAAATAATTTAATTTTTCTTTGACCAGAAAAATATTTTCGATCGACTTATTTTTCTGAATGCTCCAAATAAAGAAACATTGTGAAAAATATTTTCTTTTAAGTTATTTTATAAAAATAAATGGAGCTTAAATTATAATATTATTGTCCGAATAAATTATCATACTCCCAACTTAAATACTACTATTATAATAATATTTAGTATGAGTTCAATTTTTGATCCCAACTTAAATAAAATCAATGAATAAAAAAAGGTCAACGGGGTTTTGATGACGGTTGACGAAGTGAGACTTGTGGAAGATGCGAATCTTTAACCATAAAAAAATAATATTTATTATTAATTTAAAGAGTTTGGTAGAAATTGCACCCACCAACTTAGGGTTTATTTTATTGGAGGTAAAGTTATGGTAGGTCCTACACAAGAAGCCCGTTAGACAGTCCTACACTCTTGGAGACTTTGGACGACGTGGACCATCGCCACTCATAATAAATTCCATCTCCGTTATGAATTACGCATGCGTGTCTTTAACTGTAGGTAGGGTTAGCAATTTTGAACGCCCAGCCAAACGAACAAGACAAAATAAGATTTGTTAGCTAACATTAGGTATTAATCATTATAGCATTTTATCAGTTATTTAATTTCATTAAATATTATAAAGTGTATATATTAAATATTATAAATAATAAAAATAATGTGTTTTAATGAAAGGCTACATAAAAAGATATTGTGAAATAGTGTCATCATTCATTTTAAAAATTAAACATTTTATATTTTTGCTAACACATATGTATATGTAAGGAGTATTTTTTTTTATTATTAATATTGAAAAGAATAGAAGATTATTCGAGAAAATATTAAAATTTGAAATCATGCATTATTGCTTTTATGAAATAGTTGTTGTGAGAAAATATGGACTATCTTAAAATACTAATTATGTTTGTACTTTCTAGTTTCTACACTGCAAATCTCATAAATGCCCTTTCTTTTCTACTTAAAATTATTTCTTCTTCTCTCTCACCAACCAAAACTTTGTCGAACTTCATCTCGATCAGTCTTCCTAATTTGACCATTAGAGATGATGCTCAGTAATTAAACAAAACCTAACTTTCCTTATCCGCTAGCAAGAAAAAACTTTTTCCAACTAACTCCATTATAAATATCTTCTTCCATCAACGAACACAGAAAATTCTCGTGATCAAAACAAAAACTCATTACTACTTCTCCATCCATGACTGCTTTAGGAAGAAACTATTCCATCCAGTCATGGCGGCACGTGTATATATATAAACATTAAAACTCATTACTACTGGGGTCTCCATCCATGACTGCTTTAGGAAAAAGAAAACTTCAATTCATCCACAGTCATGGGCGGCAACGTGTATATAATATATATATAATATATATATATAATATTATTATTATATTATAAACTACTTAGTAATGTAATTAAAGACAAAATTAATTTTTTAAATTAGTTTTTAGTACTTTGATTGAATGTTATTTTTTTATATTATTCAATTAATATAGGGTTTTTCAAATTAACTTTTAGAGGAATTAAATTAATGTTTTTATAAAATGTTAATTCTTATAATGTTTAACTCTTTTAGCGTTTTTATATATATATAAAACTACTTAGTAGTATTAGACAATAATTTTTTAAATAGTTTTTAGTACTTTGATTGAATGTTATTTTTTATATTATTCAATAATATAGGGTTTAAATTAACTTTTAGAGATTAAATTAATGTTTTTATAAAATGTTAATTCTTATAATGTTTAACTTTTAGCGTTTTTTAAAAAAGTTACTCAAATTATTAAATAATACTAAAATAGCTAGGTTTGCGGAATATATATAAATTTTTCTGAAAATTAATCATTTCGAATTTAGAAGAAAAAACAGAAGAATAACAAAATTCTTGATGCTCACTGGAAAAAAAATCCTAAAAGAAAAAGAAAATTGTATTGCAGGTGGTCCTATCTAATGATTATGAACCGTCATGAAGTGGTCCGATTTGATTTTTTTTTTTTTTATTAATTAAAAATTAAAGTACATACAGCCTCATCAGGCCTACTTTGAATAGTTGTGGACTTCCCCAGCATCCTGTACCTGTACCTAGCTAATTTACGTTTTAATAGTGATGTATCAAAGTTTATATTTGTCACATACTGTACAACCTGGAATCTTTTTCCAGGCATTTCAACTACCATTTTTCAAAAATAGAAATTCAAAATGAAATTGAACTTCTCTATATTTGGCTCCGCGCCAAAAGCAAAATTGAGCTACCACTTATATATATATTCCGTTTTACCAAAGAAAAAACCATCGCTCTCTCTCTATATATAAATATTCAGTCAGACTAAGAAAATAAGTTTGATTCCAAATCTTAATTAAAAAGGGTCATAGGTACGTAGATCAAT